TTTGGAGCAACCACAAAAGAAGGTCAGTTAGTTTTCCGGCGCCATACATCAACTTTTTATTCTTTTTGGTGCTAGTCACAGGCCGTCAATAGTCTAGCAGAAGGCTCTGATCTCAGCTCTCTCGGCTCGCCGAGTAGTGAGTCGAGCACTACAGACACCGACAGCATTCTCTCTGACAAGAGCGTTGATCGCTTGTCCGTGAGTGTCGACGTCTTTTTTTTTGTCAGCTAAGCTCATCTTGTCCAGATGACGACGACGACGGCTACCACAATGACGACGACGACGGCTACCACGGCGTTTTTGCAGATGGTTGCTCCTCGATCAACGCAACATAACCAAGGACACCCACGTGATACCCCCCCTCGTGGCGTCTGCTATGCTTGGTATCGCAGCGGACGTTGCAGTCAGCGAGGTTGCCCATATACTCATAGAATGCCTGCGGGGAAAGGCCTTCCCGACAGATCCAAGGTATGTGATTTATTTATATTGGATGCCTTCGGTACTGAGATGTCGACAGGTTCCCTCGTTGGTGTCTTCCCGATCACAGGCGTCTTCTGGGCAAAATAGTCTTCCGCCGCGACTTAACCGCACGCAGTCCATGGATGCATCGATGGAAAGAAAGATTCACACTGCATACTTGGATCCAGCAATCGTTTCTGTTGGGAAGCGTTCAGTCGCGCCATTTTCTGGCTCGGCGGCGGCTGTGCAGACGCCCCAAAACCAAAGTCTTGATCTATCGAACGATTTTGTACGGCATCTTCCCATGAAGAGTGACACAAAATCGGGAATTGCAACCGTCGCACCTCAAAATAAGCCAGGTGTCGCTCGGTCGAGAGAGATGCAGATGGAGAAATCGGGGAACGTCAAATCTGCCGCACCTATCTCTGTACGTTCAATCGCCTTTGCTTGCGACATATATTTTGATATCCCATCTGTAGAAAATACCATCATTCGTTCCACCGAAGCGGCCCGAAATCGAGCACATGACTATACCTGTCATGGATCCTATTCGCGTCACTTTTGGTCCCGGCTTCCAAGTCCAGAAGATCGTCACGGGGTTCGAGTCGCTCTGGATTACCTTGGCCAATATACCTGTTGATACAAATCGGGACTCCCTCCACCGTCTCCTGGCCCCATTCGGGACAGTACTCCAAGTCACCTTCCGCAACGAAAGTAGGACAGATGCTACTACCACCATCGTCAGCGCACAATTATCCAGCTATCCGGAGACGGTTGCTGCCATTGAAGCCCTGGACGACGCCGAAGTTTTCGGGACACGAATCCGCGTGCGCTCGTCTATGGGCAAGTCGGCTGTCAATCGCCGCCTCCAGGACAAAGACGTTCGCATATCATGGGCCGTACCATCGAAGGTCGGATATGCGGGTTTTAGCACTCTCCAGGCAGCTCAGAAAGCGGTCGCAGCCGCAGATGGCTCCACGATGCGCGATCACTGGGTCACCGCGACCATATATGACGGTTTACCTGTAGTTGGCACCTACAACGTTCGCTTCCAAGGCCTACCTCCTGATGCTCAGCCCAGCCACTTGTCTCGATTCGGCAGGCCAGAAGGGACAATGCTGGAACGACCCACGTACAGTGCCCAACGTTTGGGGGTGCCTGCTGTCCAAGCACTACTCGCTGCATTCGGCCCTATGGATTATTTTGACGTCAGCCCACCGCCGTACAAGGATGGGATGGTACGGGCTTGGGCCCGATTCGACTCCCCGGATGTAGCGAAGGTCGTCTGCGAGCTCCACGGTATCAAGCAACGCGCTCTCGGCGGGACGAAGCTGTATGTGCATCGTGTACATTCGGTCATGAACCCAATAGCGAGGGAGCTCTACTCCGTCATCGAGTCTGAGGTCCTGCGCCTCCAGGCAGCCATTTGGAACTACGCTCGAGGATCTTACCTCCGTATCTTCGATGCCAAGTCCAACTCAGGCGATGTCAACATCAAGCTCGTGGCCGAAGACAGTAAAATATTGGCAAAGATGAAGGCAGAACTGTCCCTGATCGTTCAAGGGGAGCTCGTCGTGGAGAGTCCATCCTCTCCGGCGTGGGATGACTACTTCTCTCGGGCGGTTGGTGAAGAGTTCCTCAATGATGTACGCAAAAACAACCCTACAGTGCTTATTCGCTCGGACAAGCTCCGACGGACTATCCGTATCCTTGGGAACGCGGAGAAACGCAAGCCCGCTGCTGCGGCCATAGTGTCTAAGCTGCTACACCTGCGCGGTCAAAGGGTCCGTACGATTCCACTCGTCGGTCGGCTCGTCGGGCTGTTCATGAGCTCAGATCTGCTTGCGTTACAACGGAAGCACGGCGTGGAGACTGTCTGGCTAGACTTCGAACGCAGGATCCTCTGTGTTCGAGGTGATGAGCCTCTGTACGAAGAAGTCCAGCACATCGTACATCGCATCCAACGTCGCCATCCCGACGAGCGTAATGGCGGTCATTGCCCCGTCTGCTTCGAGCCGCCCACGACCCCAGTGACACTCTACTGCGGTCACACCTGGTGCAAGGCGTGCTTCTCCGACTACCTTCGAGCAGCGAGCGACAACCGCTCCTTCCCGCTCAAATGCCTTGGAGACTCGGCGACATGTACCGAGTGCATCCCGTTACACATCGCTCGCAACGTCCTCCCGTCCTCCGATTTCGACGCGCTCACACTCGGCTCATTCCACACCTACGTGCACGCACGCCCAGACGAGTTCCACTACTGCCCGACCCCGGACTGCCCGCAGGTGTACCGTGCTGGGCCGCGCGACACGGTGCTCAACTGCCCGTCGTGCCTCACCCGGCTGTGCCCGCATTGTCACGTCGAGTACCACGAGGGCGTCACCTGTGCCGACCGCACGCACGGGGACGACCAGCTTTTCGACCACTACGTCAATACGCACGATGTCAAGAAGTGCCCGGGATGTCACGCGCTTATCGAGCGTGCGGAGGGCTGCAACCATATGACGTGCACCAGATGCAAGACGCATACGTGCTGGGTTTGCTTGGAGACGTTTGAACAAGGCAAGGGCATCTACGACCATATGCGCAGCATGCATGGCGACATCGGGCTATAAAATCGCGTAACTTATTTTTATTCCTGTCATCAACCTCAAAATCGTGGGTTTGTTGTTTGTATCCACTGTACCTCTATTTATGGGTTTCCTGTATGCTGCACTCTCTTCGCCTTCTGCTACCATCACCGTCATATTATCTACAAACCTTCCTTGTAGCGCGTTGTATGCTCGACGACGAATGCACCTGAATGTTGAATCCATGTCCAATCTATGTCTATTACTATATTTATCTACAAGTCCGGCAAGATACAGTACGCTCAGGACAACAGCAATATCATCCAAACCTCGCTCTCAAGCCGTCATATATCCAGAATATCAACGCACTACTCGGCACAGACCTCGCGACCGTCACTCCACAGCCAGCGTACAGCCCCCGAACGCCCTGCGCGCGATACAGCTCTCTCGCGACCGTGCCGAACGAGCGCGACGCCGACGTAGAGCCAGGGCGCAGCTCCGCCTCCGTCTGCATCGTGCTCTTGACCGTGTCCGCGGGGAAGAACGCGAGATTGTACGACGCGCCCGCGCAGGCGCCACTGAGCGCGCTCTCCCAGGCCGCGAGCTCCTGCCTGTCCGGCGGATGGTACGCCAGGAGCGCAGACGCGACGAACTCCTTCATGCCGAACCACGCCGCAGAGCCCCCCGTCTCGCGGATGAGCGTGCCCATGTGGCCGAGCCAGAGCCCGCGCACGCCCGTCGTGCGCACGATGTCGCGAAAGACGCCCATGGGGCCCGGAAGTGCGCCAGCGGACGCAGGGAGCGCGGCGGGCGCTCCGGAGGGTGCGGTGACGAGCATCTGGACCTGCATCTTGCACTTGACTAGCTCGATGGGGGTGCTGGGAGAAAACCCGGTGAGTTCGGTGTAGGCGCGCGCTAGCGGGGCGGACGTACAGGAGAAAACTGGTGATGGCGCCAGCGCCGCCAGCTGCGAGCGCAAGTTGCGGGAGGGAGAGCGCTTGCGTGATGGGCACACCGCTCGTCCAGCGCACTAGGTTTTGGAGCTCTCCGTATGCGAGGAATAACGAGGCGTTCTCGGCCATCGCGCCAACTATTGGCGCTGGCAAGCCCTGCGATGTCCAACGCGTCAGCGCAGACTTCCAGAACGCCGCGAAGGCAAGAAGTGATGGTGCGGAAGAGAGATCGCTCACCCTGTATAGTCCACGCACCCCCTCGTGCTTATATGTCTGCACCAGACAATCCACAGGTCCCCGGAAGCGCGCCTCGGCGTCCAAGACTTGGGATTGTAAACGCACTTTCGTGAGGTCGAACGGGTGTTCAAATACTTTTGACACCATGCCTGCGACCTAAGAGCCTGTCTTCAGTTTGATCTCTTGCAAGAGGGAAACGCTGGCGTACGCTTCCGAAGGCGATGTCCTTCGTCGCGCGGACGGCGGGGCTACCTCTCCGGCTTGAATGGTCGAGTGCGTCAGGAGAAGCCTCCATGAGTCTCCTTGGTCTATTGTCCTGGAAGATATACGATTTTGGACGATCCCGGAAGACGGGTCGAAGGGGCCAGTCAAAACTCGGACACAGGCGCTAGCTTCCGTGCATGAGGCCTTCCTACGCCGTTGAAGATGGGGTCAGGTTACTGACAAATATCGGAATTCGGCGATGTTTCAGGTGAGGTAGCTTCACGATGACCGGACAAGTTGGGTGCGAGCGTCAAGAGACAAAAATTTCGTAGGAACACGCATCTTCCAGCAGTGGCACAGCACGGTTGGTCGAGCGAGGTTAGAACTTTGGATCAATCTTATCACGCCCGTCTGTGCAATTTGACTGCGACGTCCGGGATCGTGCGCATGATCCAATTTACACGATCACGCTGAATCCTGCTGCATCACAGGATATTTCTGAAATTCATACAAGAGTACTACAGTGAGATACGGTGACCAGTAAGGCGAGAGAAAAATGAACGTGCAGGACCCATATTCCTTCGAGCCGGGATCGAACCAGCGACCTCGGGATAACTAAGCCATTACAGTCCCACGCTCTTCCAACTGAGCTATCGAAGGTGTATCCTGATGTCCAGTGAAGTTGCTATCAGGCAAGCCAAGCGCTCGCGGAATGTCGGGAGGCGCGAGAGCAGGAAGAGTGGGGGAGGGACGGGGGAAGGGAGGGGTGGAAGCCCTGCGATGGCCGTCCGCGGAGTTATATGGGCTGGCAATATTTGATGCAAACAACGTTCCCTGTTTGGAACTGTCGGGTTGTTTGGCTTTGTTTGGTGATGTCGCGCGCAGCACGTGTGGCTCGCGCGAGTTGGGTCTGCGCTGATTAAACCTCCTTTCGCCAGTGGGGTCGTCCTAGAATGCCGCCAGCTACCAATGTGTTGTGGGTGCATTGAGGAGTGCGCTCCACAATGGAGGATTGAAAATGTAAGTATAAATATGAAAAGCGCATCCGCATCTAGACGAGGCCTGTCCCGGCGAAGGAAGACGGACGAGGTTCATCCCACGATAAGATACAATTGTCGGAGCCTCACGTCGTATGATAGCTTCAACCAAGCTTCAGCGTTTCAGCTTCCACCTTCGCAGGCTTGGGAATGTCTATCTACCTTTCGGTGCGTGAAGAAAGCTCTTCTATCACGCCATGGGCTGGACACAAGGCGAATATCTGAAAAGATCAGCTGACAACTAATTTCACTTGCTCCAGACCTCCTTGGACACTCACACAATACCGTAAGTTCTGTATGTCATTGCACTCACTTGTAGTCTTATCAGACGTGGTGTTTCTAGCGCCTTACAACATCTATTAAGGATATGTTCATGCAAGCTTGCTCAAAACTTGCCACGGAGCATCTTCATAGCTTCTCTTCTGGGTTGAAGGTCGATTATGTCTCCTGGCACTGCTCGTGGGAGTGCCTCAAATATATGAATTCTGTTCCTGGCCAGGAGATCTACGGAGATGCAGTGGATCGAGAGGAAACCGGTGAATATGAACATCTGAAGAGCAGCAACCTCGCTGCTAGAGGCCCGTTCACTCTGGACACGCCGCCGCTTACTCTGCAGCTACACGCAACCATAATAACCGGCGTGGTAGAGATCATGCGCAGTTTGGACATACTTAGTGGAGGAGACAGCGCAGCGCATCAGGTAGCCTTCGAAGACTTCGGAGTGATGGCTCGTGCACTCTCGTGGGGGCAATGGTGTTCAGTGGTCTATGACTGAAGATCTTCACGAATGTGTGGCCAACATACACATGTCACTGCAGTGGGGAGACGGCGATGGATTCATCAAACTCAAGATCCACTAGTCACGAGGTGAGTCCTTCGCGTCAGTTCGGGTACTTACCCCGTCGATCATTCCTCGACGTCTATGTTCTCCAGATCTTCTCGCTCTTCTCAACTGCGAATATACTCGGACGTGTCTCTATACAGCATGATCGACCGCACGAAGCCTCTCTCGGCGCACCGAGATCACTGTCGTTGCGAAGCTCCATACACGACGATCGTCTTTTAAAATGGCTGTTATAATTGTATCGGATTGATAAATTGAAGGCACGACATGTCAATAAGTTGATGACACTCAGTGGACACACGCCTAAAGAACCGAATCCCATTGAGATCTACTTCCCTCCCTGAAGGCTGTCGCCACGTAACGCAGTACTTACGGTATCGGAAGCTTGTCGAACTCAGTCCAACTCCCATCTCTCGGATCTGTGATACAGTATGCGCGATATCTCCGGGCTCTACTTCTTAGTATAAATATTGATCTGATCTTGCTAGCACAGAATGTCCCCATACTCCAGTTCAACCAGGCAATCATGTCTGCAGCCAGTAATTACAGTGATCTCAGCGTCCTCCCTACAGCCGTTTCTGTGTAAGTCACGATAATGATTTAATATTCATGGGAAATTGTTGATATATGCCCCCAGATTCGCACCATACGTATGGACCGTCTTGGAGCCATGGGATGACACCTTTCTGATAATTGCTTCATCTTTGTGTCGTGGTTCATCGGCAACGCTGTCAATTTGCTGCTCATGGGTACCCTAATCGTTCAAGTCTGTGCGTGTCTCGCATGCCTTGCGAATCCGTCTAGTCACCTCGTGGGCTGACTTTCTCGATGCAGACTTTCTCGATGCAGACATGTTCTACGTCAATTTCCCGGGAGTGCGGCTGAGAATTCAGCTTCTAGGTAGATTCGTCTTGCCGAGCCGTGAAAGGCCAACCCTGCTCAACGTGCGTTGGCATCAGTCTATGGCGTTTTTTTTCCCTTGACATCGCGCAGACCGCGCTCGGGTCATACATGGCCTGGTGGTGGATGATCACCAATTGGAACAAACCCTCCTCATTCGCGGATACCTTGAACTGGCGGGTGGCCACGCTACCCATCATGTGCGGTTTGGGTGAGTCGAGCTCGAGGTCCATAAGCGATCATTGACAGCATTCTCCAGTCTCGGGTATCGTTCAGATGTTCTATGCATGGTACACTTCTCCGAAGTCGCCTTCCGAATCCTTTGTCATCCTCTTGGAATCCTCGTCACTAGGCAAATTTGGGTGTTAACAAATAATGTGATCATGCACTTGATCGCTGCTTTGATCGTCGTGGTAGGCAATGATCTGGTCAACTTCTAGAGTGGCACTAATTCTTGTCGAACAGGTTGCATTGGGTCAGAGCTTGACCGCCATCACTGTATCGTCGCTAGTCAGCACAAGATATACTGTCTGCTAGTCCTACAATAATGTCTTCCAATAGCTTCTGAAGACCCTCACTCCGGACACTTTCTTCCAGATATCTCCAGGATTTGCGGTGAGTCTCGCCCCTGCCATTCTTCTCTCTTGTGAAGCGACGACGCCCGTTTGTGCACAGTTCTGGCTGGCCGGGAGTTTTGTCGCAGACATTCTCATATGCGGCAGCATGCTCTGGATCGTGAGATAATGTCCACACCTTGGTCGTCATTTTTCTCAGCGCCCTTTCAGCTGTTTCGTGCGAAGACAACCGTGTTCGGAGAATCAGAAACCTGGATCAACAAGCTCATCCTCAACACGATTCGAACTGGGAGTGTCACCGTCGTATGTGCCACGTCCGATCTGGTGCTGTTTGTGGTGCTGAAACATAGCGAATCCTACCTTGCACCGTGTGGAATTATTCGCTTCGCTCTGAAATAGCACGGCACCTGATCGCGCTGCACTCAGTGCTTACATTCTAGGAAAGCTGTGCGTAGTAATTTTCCTGTTTCTTCTCAGAGACAACTATCTAACTCGACATATATATATCAGGTACACAAATAGTCTTGTGGCGACACTCAATGGTCGCAAAACTCTGTTCAAGAAAAACGCAGAACAGTCGGACTCTGTCAAGTTGTCTACCATGATTGCGTCAGGTCATCATGACTTGAGATTCAGCAGGGGTGGCCAGACAGTGATGTCGACCCATTTGACAACGTGGGAATCGGCGGTACGTCTTAAACTTCAGCCCCTTTGCTGGAATGAATCCCACCTCCACATGCTACTTACGAAATGCGGCTCTGCTGTACAGCCCGAAGTCGAGGGTGCCATCCCAGAGCCGAAGAAGGCGCCTGTTCAGGCCGTAGGATTCACCGACGTTGCAGTCGAAAGTCTGACATGAATTTATTATGCGTTTACATAGCCCATCAAATTGCGTATCCTATTCGACGTGATCTATTTGTGATCCAGGACAGACTAAGGTCTGTATGCCCGGAAGAAGGACTCGGATATGGGGCAACGATAGGATAAGATTCCCAGCTACTTTCAGCACCTTCGTTTCTACGCGTCGACCGACATCAGCAAAATGACATCGAATTGGCGGAACTAGATCTAGTTGCGACAATTCTTGCTAGTTCGGCTATTTATCTAGAACTCGGTTTAGAATTAAACCGACTTGCCTAACTCCAAACTCGAGTTCTAGCTCCAAACTCGAGTTCTGGCACCAGAACGGAGTTCTGTAGACAATATTGTATACAATCCTAGATCACTCAGGCCATTCGGGAATCATGAAAACACTTATTATTGCACGTATATACATTGATTCTAATACATATCCGCATCGGCCCTTTACTCCTCGATACCCTTACAGTAAGACACAAGGCCTATGTACCAACAAATCCTCGCTGTGAGACGCTGAAGCTACGTGCGCACCTCCACGTCTGGCCACTTGATGCCCTTGAAATCAACACACTCACCTCGATGAACGAGAACCCACCCTGGCCCCGCCTCACGCTAACACAGCGCCTGAGCGCCATCCGAGCCGGCAGCTGGAAATTCGGTATCGTGAGCGCGGACGAGACAGCCGGTAACCCCCATCCCTGTTCAAGGCGCTGATGTCGCTTCTTGGTCGCTTCAGTGCTTCTTCGAGTTGACCAAGTAGTGAGTTGTGACATGGTTGTCGACGATGTTGGATGGGACAAGTAATGGTGATGAAGGGGAGAGTAGATGCAAGTAACCCAAGGGTAGAAAAAGGGATGAGTAGAAAGATGGCCATGGAACAACCACAAGAACGTACCATGGCTACGCCGCTCGAAGCTTGGAATGGAAAGCGCGATGATTGCCACCCATGTCATGCACCAAACTGGAGAGCAAGAGATATGTGAGGTCGATGTCGGTGAAGAGAAAGAACACTTACTTGAGCACGGCAGCACAACTATCATGTCCGTCAATGACGACAACACTGAGGGTAAGAAGAGGTCGGCGATCAGACTCATGGGGCAGGATCGGGTTATCCTGATCTAAAGATGAAGGGTTCGGTTGTGACGTGAGGACACTGGAAATGAGGAGAAGTAACAAGGAGGGAGGGGAAGGAAGAGGAAGGTGAGAGACGAGACGGCTAGTGCTACGACGCGAGAGCCTCAGCCTGGTGGCGCGTCGTGATTGGCTGACGAGATCACGTGTAGTTTAGGGGAGGCGAGATCCAGCCTTGGAAAATCCAATGCGCGCGTCGGCACGCGTCGGTTCGTTAGTGTTGCGGGAAAAACCCCCTGGGACCAAAGTCCCCGGTTAGTTACCCATGGGGTCCCGGAGGGGGTGTAACATACCGGAATATTACAGGGAA